CCCCCCCCCCCCCCGCCCCGGGACCTCAGTCTGCGGGGATCGGCCTGGCGAGCACGGGTAGAGCCCTCAGACCGCGGCACCCAACGCGGACAAGAAGGTGGACCCTCAGCACGTCTCCTAAACGGCGTTTTCCCCGGAAACGGAAACAAGGAAAGCGATTTTAGAGACCCAGTCGCTCGGTCCTGGGAGTCTGTGCCGAGTCCCTGCGTGTGCAGGGCCCCGAGGTCGCTGAGGGGCAGGCAGTCACAGAGGCAACTATGTCCTGGTGGCCAATGTGCCTGCGGAGCGAGACAGAACCCGAGGAGGCGTGGGGCCCAGTCCCCGGCAGTGACACAGCTCCCCAGAAAAGGCGCAGAGAGTCTCCGATGGGCTCCCCGGGGAAACGAGGGCCCCCGTAATCGCCCAGGGACGCAGGGCCAGTGGCCAGGTGGTGGCCTGGACCCCTGTGGGGGGGCAGTGAGCGAGGGGGGCGCGTGGGTGGGCGGGGCCGGACAGTGCGGGCCTCAAAACCCAGGTGAGGGAGGACACGGGCACACCGAGAGGTTTCCCTGGAAGTTTCATGCACAGACACACCTGGTCCCCTGGGGGACCTCTGAGCTCCCACACCCCCTGGTTCTCACACAGTGTTTATCCACACCTAACGTTTTGTAAGAAAGGAACTCATGTCTGTTGCTACAGAGGCTGTTTCTTCCCCAGTGGTATCACAGACCTCTACGTAAATTAACATCGCTTTTAACGGGCGCCCTGTCCTCTGTGGACGCACAGACACGGAGGTGCTCCGGGGCCTCCCGCCCCAGACGAAACCGTGGCCAGCGGGCCCTTGTCCGATCACGTCTCAGGCCCACGCTCGGGCAGGGAAACGGCCGGCGGGAGGCAAGAACGCTAAGGATCGGCAGGTGGCACCGAGACCCGGTGGCGAGCCGTGCAGGGACCCGGGCTCCCGTGTGTTGGGGACGGGGACGCGCCGGCCGGGCGCCTGGAGGAGGGGACGGCCTCTGACACCTGAGGCCGCCTGCCCACGGCTCCGAGGACGGCACTCGCAGAACCGAGAAGCCGGGCTCGCCGGGAGCCGCAGATCGGGGGATACGACGCGGCCCACCGGGCCACCGGAGCGCAGGCGCTCCGCGGACTCACCCGTGTGCCGCTTGTAGTGCTTGAGCATGTTGACCTTCTGCGCGAACTTGCGGTGGCACTCCTTGCACTCGTACTCCTTGATGCCCTTGTGCAGCTTCATGTGGTGGCGCAGCGCGTGCTTGGTCTTCATGCCTGCCGGCGGGGGAGGGGGGAGGCAGGGGGGACACTCACACTCAGCCAGCCCGCCTCTCCCGCCTCCAGAGCTGCCCTGCACCTGCCCTGCGTTCCCCAGGACCCTGCGCTGCCACAGCGCCCGCACCGGGGACCCTCCACCACTGTGCCCGCACCCAGGACCCTTCCCTGCCGTAGCGCCCCTGCTGGGGACCCTCCACCACTGTGCCCGCACCCCTGCCATGCCCCGCACATGGGACTCTCCATGACAGCATTTGCACCACACCCTAGACCTTCCACGCTGCCTGGGATCTGGGTCCTCGGGCAGGCACAGGTCTTGGTGAGCGTGCAACAAGAGAAGAGGTCGGGACTTGGGGGGTAAATCTCCCAAAGGACCCCCTCCACCAGTGCAGATGGGCACTTATGCCCTCAGAGATCCAGACACGTCTGGACACCTCATGTGATCAGGGGCCTGCCCAGACCTGAGGGTCGGTGCTCAAAGCAACCACTGTGACACAACGGAGTCACCCGCGGAAAGCCGTGCAAGCCCGCCACAGAGTTCCTGCTGGTCTTGAGGACGCTAATGTTAACCGAGATGAGAATTCAGTTTTCTGGACATTAGAACTGTGTGGTACACGCACGGACTTTCAGTCTACCTTTAATTAAGCGTAACGAAGTCAATCTTGGCTAAAGGAGGTGAGAGAAAGTACAACCTAACTTGGGCGTCGAAAAGGGACGACCCTGGTAGAGGGTGTGAGTGAGTGGTGGGGGGGTCCTGGAACAGGGTGTGAACCAGCAGCAGGTGGGGGTCCTAGTACACGGTGTGAATCAGTGGGGGGGGGCGGTTCCTGGCACAGGGTGTGAATCAGTGGGGGGGGGTTTCCAGCACAGGGTGTGCATCAGAAGTGGGGGTCTTGGTTCAGTGGACAGTCTGAACGGAAAGGCCGGGGCCACAGAAGCTGTGGGCAAAAACCACTGCAGAGCAGGTTGGTGGGGGCTCACAAGCGCAAGGCCAATGCGTCCAGTCCTGCTGGCTGCAGACCTAACCGGTCAAGGGGCCCTGGACAGGCCACGGCTGTCACCGCCACACAGAACAGGACCTGGAGGGACTACGGGGTGGGGCAGAGTCCAACCACCGCTGGTACTGCCCTCGGTAACGGTAGTGAAACAACGGCCGCGTCTGGCCACGGTCCCCGCCGGGTTACCTGGGAAACCCCGTCCTGGCGAATGGGGAGGGGAGGCTCAGCCAGCTCCAGCTGCTACTGGACCCCAGGCCCGGCTGAACCCAGGCCTCCACAAACCCTACGCGTGCACGAACCCAGCCTGGCCGGGCTGGGCCTGCACAAACACGGGCCTGCCTCCACGCCAGACCTGCACGAACCCGGGCCCGGCTGAGCTGTGAGAAGCCACGAGAACCGGCCTGTCTGAGCCAGCAGAGGGAGCAGGAGTCTCCCAAGTGCCGGTCCGCCAGAGAAGGCTTCTAAGGCTCCAGGAAGCGCAAACGTGTGAGCCTAGCACTGACTTCGGAAGAGCGTTTTTCCCTTCATAAGCGGGTTTTAGTTTCTCAGTCGAAACCATCACACGCGCTCATAGTGAAAAGCTCCAGGCGACAAGAGGTTAGCCCCGAGGACGCGGCCCAGCAGCCCTGCCAGGTCACCCCGGCCCCCGGGACACCGCTGAACCCATTCTGGCCACGCGGAACAGACCCTCTGCCGTGCGGTCACTTCTGTCAGCGCCATGTGAACCCGCCCCACGCAGCGCGGCCAGTGCAAACCCACCATCACGTTGCTGTCAGCCGTGAACACGACTCACAGCCCGTTAACATGCCTGCCACGCCGGCACCTGCCACGGGACCAGCTCCACTGCAGGTGCCAGACTGAGCAGAAAGCCAAGCCACGCCCCGGCCACACAGGGAGAGGGCCACGTGGGAAGGGATGAAGAAAAGCAGGATAAAGCGGGGACAGGGGGAGAGGGAACAGAAGGGGCCCGGGTGCTGGCTCATCACGTGGGATGTCGGGGGGATCCTCTCAGAGGAGGCGGCTGAAAAAGTGATCTGGAGGAAGTGGGGGAGGGGCCAGGAGCTGCATGGGGGAACAGCATTCCCGGTGGAGGGAACAGTGAGTGCAAAAACCCTGAGGCCAATGTAAATAGTCCCTCAGCGTCTCAAGCTGTCACAACAGTGCTGCAGCAGAAGCTCGTCTTTATGCTGCAAACAGATCTTTGTGCTATTCGTTAACAAGAAACTTTTCTAGCAGCAGCTAACAGTGTCCAACGGCCCACCCTGTGTAGCAATTTACACAACCCCCCCGCCACCCGAAGTCTACTGCCTCCTTCC